AATACCTGAGCCTGAGTGATAGACTGTATGAAACGAGCAAGTGGAGATATATGTTCTCTCTGTAGGTGGGGGGATTTAGAGGGGGTTAGGAATGATCTGTGAAGAGAAGCTGATCTGACATGGAATGATGACTTACTGACACAGGTAGAGGATGGAGGGATACACATAAAGCACAGGTTCTGTTAAAGTGAGCAGGAGATTTACTGAAGCAGGTTAAATGGAGCCTTCTGTCCTCCAGTCTTGCTGAACTGAGTGGAACAGGGGACAGGAGCCAGGGGTTGTTGAGTTGTTATGTTAACTTGGGAAGGATGACTGCTTTTACTCTTAGAGTTTACATGCGCTCTAATAAATTAACTAGAAGCCAAACAAGGTATTACCTTAAGGTAATACTTGGATTATAGCAACTGTTGTGTCAACATCTTAACAAGAATATCTCATTTGTAACGTGTTAAATTAGAAAGAGTGGAAATGAGCAAGATTTAATTCTAAATGTTTTGAGAAATCTGCTACCTACACTATATTAACAACCATAACACAATGGAGGTTACTATTTCACTTTAGTTGCATGTGTGACTAAAAATAAGGCATTCGGCTTCTTACACATTTTGTCTGATTCTCTGCCGAGTCCTTGATAAATCCAGTTTTAATTTTTTTTTTTTTAGCCTTTATTTATACAGGTGTAAAATCTCATTGAGACACAAGGTCTCATTTTCAAGAGAGACCTGACATGAGATGGTGTTGCCAAATTAAGTACTAATTGTGTGGCAAAGTGCACCTGCTTTCTGCAAAAAGTATGTCTGATTCATGTTTTGGTAGATTGTTGGAAAAGGAAAACTACGAGGACACTTGCATGTTTCCTTCTGCTTTAATGTTGATGCTGTTAAAACAGTGTCTTCTAAACACAGGAGTAAAAACAGGGTTCCAATGTAATTACAATCAGCTGAGAAGCTCTTAAGTCAAACTCTTTAATTATTTACAATATACCTTTAATTATGTGGTGAAAACTGCTGAAATGACTGGTCCTTTAAACGTGAGAACATGAAGTTGCTATTGGACCATATTTTAACAATCCTCATTTTAATACTGTTCAGAATAATGAATAGATATTTGAAATCTTTCCCCTTGCCAGGACTAAATAACAAGAAAGACCCCTGTCTGACTGAGCTCCCCGACAAAACGTCCCCCTCCAAGTCCCTCTCTTCCTGTCCATAACCTCCCCCCTCAAATGACCATTTTGCAGTACCCCAAAAACAGATCTCAGGAAGAGGAAAACCAGAAGGAGGGGTAGGTCTGGCTGCTCTGGCTTCAAATCTCTGTGACACATCACAACACCCAGCCTTCTTCCTCCTCCTCGTCCTCCGCAACACACCCCTCTGTATCCCCCTCTACTCCAACACACTCACTCCATCCTTTGACTATCCCTGTGTCCACCCTCCACCCAGCCCACTGGTAGGAGTCAGCCACACACTGTGACATCAGCATGTGTCAGCCAGAGCTGCCTCTTTTTAGTCTACTACACCAATTCATAATTAAAGACTTTCTGAGGGACTTTAAAAGTTCCTCAGATATACTCCACACGGGGCCATAGGATTTATTACAAATCTGTTCAATCAGACAGCACTTTCCGAGGTTACATTTTGGCGCCATATTGGAATACAAAACGTCAATGCTAAAAGTAAAAATGGCAAATAACATTTAGTGGCAATGCAACTAGAATGCACATCTTCCTTAACACCAAGAGAGACAAGGAAGGAAAAAAGGGGGCAACCTGTTTGTTTACCAATGATATCGGAGCTGCCCATGATTGAACTTGTGATGCATTGACATCATTATCTACGATAATATGTCTGATTTATAGAATTGTATTGCCAACATTTACCAGATCCTATATTACAAACGTGTGATCTGAAGGAAAACAGCATAGCACATTAAAATACTCTAAGAGTGAATAATAGTATGAAGGGTATTTCATTGTCTGGAGTACAATAAAGGCAAGGGTACGTTTCTCTTTAATACAATGAACCTAAAGAGCAGCGGCAAACTGAATTCTCCATAGAAACCTACAACAATATGCCAATGGTTAGACCTTATGGTTGGCTGGGGTTGAGGATGGGGGTTGTCTATTGTCAACGGGCTGCTTGAAAGGACTAAGTATTATGGAGAGAGACTGCAAATCAAGTGCTTAGCCCTCCCTTAAAGCGGACCCCACTGTCTGCACAAAATCCACAGAGAACCGGTCTACAAGCAGAGTGACAGAGAGGGCAACGTTTCCCACTGAGGCACAGAGGGAAATAGCGGCAGTAACCAAGGCAGGGAAAGGGGGAGGTGGTAACAGAAAAAAAAGAGCGGGAAACACGGGAGTGTGAGGAAAAAAGGGGGCAAAAAATTTGGGAGGGAGACTAGCCGAAGTACGCGAGTAAGACATCAATGGGACAAACAAACCGAAACTAAGCGTGTTACCCTGCAGTAAAAAGAACCATTCTCTTAAGTGTTTTGTTAATGGACTGCAAAGCCATACTAATACTAAACTGAGTCATCTCCTGACAACTCAAATCCCACCTGCTTACGAAGTGTAGTGTGACAGGTGAAGGCGGGGGGCTGCTGAACTGTATCTGCCATCTTGTCTTCCAGTAAGCTGCATCTCATAATAAACATAATAAGTTCATCAGAAAAAGGCTCTAATGATAAGAACCTAGGCTGTTGTACAGTCCATTGTCACAGGTCACCCATCCATACTGCTCTAATGGAAGATGAGAACCAAGATTTAATTAAAAGAATAGATCGACATTTTAGCTATATCCTTTTCCCACAATACGACCGTACTGTAATGCCATTATTTGACATTTCTAGCTACTTTTGTTCTAGCATTGTAACTCAGCCATAATGTAACATCACATCAAGATCAAGTGACTAACAGTCTGTGGGCATACCCGAGGGTTAGCACATCAAAATGGATTTCATTTGCTTAAGGCTCGAAAGCCTTTCACTCATTATATATCTACTGCTAAGCTCTCAGAAGCTGTGGTTTTAATGCCACATGTGCTGCTGCTCAGAAATACTACAGGGGAAGAGAGTGACTGTCTGCTTCTAGGCGGGCTGTGCAATCAATTTGCATTTTTCTCACGCAACTCAATGGAGGGCCCCCTTTTAATCATTCATCCAGACATGGGACTCACTGGTTGGCCTGTGGTGGTTAGTGATATGCGATTGCCCACTGTCAAGGCCCTGCAGGGAGCCACATGGACAAGCCACACAGTTAACAGAACATGCATCTGTCCGACTGTATTAATACAATAATGTCCTCCAAAGTGAATGCATCAAAGACACTCCTCCTTACACATTTAACACTGACTTGAACTATACTATATATGAAATCCCGTGGAACACTTTGATGCAAGCAAACAACAAAACAGTAATGGTGAGTGATAGCATAGTGGGTATAATCGAAGTTTACACAACTTCAGTAATCAGTGAATTATTTTTAAACAAAAGTACGGTAGCTTTAGGGGATAACATTTATATTTGGTTGAAGCTTCTCCCATAATATTGTTAAACAGTTGCAGCCGACAGTGTGTTGGAGGGTCAGCCAACAAAGCCATGTCAAATACATCCTTTATACTTGGAAGAGCAAAGTCAAATATGGGGCTTCTTTTTGATCAGACTTATGTCAGCAAATGTAATCTAGTTTAGAGAGTACTAAGTGCAACTCACACACCTGCCCAATGCCCATACACTGACACATAACTGCTTTAGTAACAGTAGGTGCATGGCTTCTGGGAAAACACCTTCAGTTCCCTTATGCTACGGACATTGGAAGTGTCCCAACTGAGAAGAGCAGACACACTAATGAGACAATAGACACCAGAGAGGGATCTCCTTTACAGGAGGAGGGGGTGCTTTAAGATCCACCTGCTGTATCATGTGTCACTGGCTGATCGAGAGTACCTGGCATTCAGTTTATGGTCACATAAGTGGAAAGCTTCCGTTACAGCTGAGACAAAGCCAGTCAGTTTGGACTGTTTAACTGCTACTATGAACAAGAAAGAAACTATTTACTGGCCATGGCCTGGATTGATATTTTTTTTTTTTATCACCTGGACCAAACAGGAATTTTTACATTACAAGGTTTTGCAGACTTTAAAAAGGTTAAGTTTACATGTTATTAGTACCAAAACCAACCAAAGACAGCCTGTCAATGTTCTTAAGGAAACATTTACTACCTACTCACTCTTAAGGAATTAGATAAGAGCATGGGCTAAATGTTTTATGCACAAAAAAGGGAGTGCAGCAAGACAGGTATCAGACTGAAGGTGCTGTGAGAGAAGGATACTGCTAGATACATCGAGGTCAGTCTGGGGTCATTGGGTGACTAAAAAGGCTTAACCACGCATCTGTTTGATGAATCCCACACACCTGGCTGATGATGATGCCAATGAGTTACAGTGAATAAGACAGCAAACTCCTCAGTACCCTTCAGAAATGTCTTATAAATGTCTCATAACAGCCACATACTTTATTTTCGAGTTCAAATAATTTGTATTTCTTCTTGCATGATGGTAAGAGTTATTCACTAGCTGTGACTCATTTGTAGGCTAATTAAAAGCAGAGGCTGACAGTCGTTCAAGTACTCCAATACATTTAAGGGGTAAATAGTGTACTTTTACTCCAGTAGATTTATTTAATACCTTTAGTTACTTTGCAGATTTTGATCAATTATGTGATATATAATCCACCTTTAAATATGACTTTAAGTGACTTTTAGTTTAGTGAATCCACAAGCTACCCTGCAGTATACAAAGTTATTAAAAAATGCTCAAATTGAATGCATAAATAATAATAATCTAAACATAGCCTATGATATAAATTATTCTGAAATGGGCCACTCTGCATAACGAGTACCGTTACTTGTTGTACTTTAAGTATATTTAAGTACTTCTACTTTTACTTAAGAAGAGGATCTGAGCACTTCTTCCACCTCTGCATGTAAACGGAATAATTACCTGTAGTTCCGAGTTCCATTCATGAGGTCTCTGTCCGGATAACTCCCGGATCACAGTAGCCAAACGTGTGGGACTCTTCCTCCGTGCAGTCCGGTGTCTCCTTCTGCAGCGCACCGCCTCTGCCGCGCTGAATGGCCGAGTGTCCTCTCTGCTAGCTCCTCTCTCCCCGCAGACTGTCATAAAACAGGGGCCCTTCGTACGGTCCTTCCGCAAGACGGGGGTCTTGGGCGTCCCCCGTGTCCGCACACCGAGGTTCGCACACGGTCAACGTATTAAACCGGGGGTTCACTGCCACGGCGAAAGCTGGTTGCTGGTTACTGGTTGCGACGCTGAGGCAGTTTAAAAACCGGCTAGTTAGCCGAGTGGGCTCGCTAGCCAGGCTTAGGAAAGTGTCAGGAACGGACGAGGTGAACTGTCAGGATATCATCACAGCGGGGTCACTGAGTCCAAATGAACACCTACCGATGGATAATCCTCACCAGAGGCGACATTAATGCGTGTCCCCTGCACAGCGAGCTCCCGGTGGTCTTCAGTAATTAGCTAAATGGCTAGCTCGGCTGTTGGATAGTTGGAATTCTGACAGACGACGGTTACTTCTAAACCACCACTGACACAGCCCCGTTTCCCTAACAACCATATCCCAACGACGTTGTTCTCTTTATCTTGTATCCCTATGCCGAAATAAACCTGTCACCACCCGGCAGAGTCCGCCAGCAAGTGTCAAGGCTTTCGGTCAGGTTGACAGATCAACTCTGCGGGGCTTCGGCAAGCAGCTAAATATGGTGAAGTTGCCTTTCTGACACCGACAGGAAGAGGTGGGCTCTGTGTCACCACACGTCAGAAGAATCAACTCCGCCTTCATCAAAAGTTAACCCCCAATTGCACATTAATATGGATAAATTGTGTATAAAATATGGATTTCTTCAGAGGTGGAAGAAGTACTCAAATCTTGTACTTGAGTAAAAGTAGAACAAGTATTAGAGTGTAGGAATACACTTTTACAAGAAAAAGTCCTGCAATCAAAATGTTAAAATAAAAATAAAGAAAAGTATCAGAATCAGAATATACTTAAAGTACCAAAAGTAAAAGTACTCGTTATACAATATGTTTTGATTAGAATTATTGTTGCATTAAAGTGTTATCAAAGCTGGTAAAGGTGCAGCAATTGTTATTTACTTTGTATGCTGCAGGGTAGCTTGTGAATTTGCTCCAGTTTTACATAAAGTCCTATTTAAGTGTTGAATGATTATATTCATCATTATCATCATCATAATTTATAATCAATTCTGAAAAGTAACTCAAGGTATTCAATACATTTATTGGAGTAAAAGTACACGATTTACCTCTGAATCGTAGTGGGGTAGAAGCTAGAAGTAAAAACTAGCAAAAATGTACTCAAGTAAAGTGCAAGTCCCTCAAAATTGTACTTAATACAGTACTTGAGTAAATCTACTTAGTTACTTTACACTACTGTATTTCCTTATCAGACTGTGAATGTGAATTATCGAATACATTTGTGTTAAGTGGAGCCAAACAGCTGAAATTGGTAATCGTAAGTAATAATCTACATATCACAATGGAAACTCCCTAAAATGATTCATTTCATAACAGACAATTATTCTTGTATTACAGGTGATCTGACATGTATTATTTAAATATGCTAATGGTGAATTATAGTTATATGTTATGTTTAAATATTCAAAAGAGGCATATATAATGCTAAGTTTAAGTACATTTATGAGAAATTCAAGAACAGAAGTAGTAAACTAAACACCTTAAATTTGTATATTGCAGGTTTTCTTTGCACTAGTCGGAATGAAAACTCATTGCATCAAAATAGCCCAAACTTTCAATTTTGAACAGTGCTTGAGAAATATTTGTTATAATATTTTTGCTGAACAGAAGGTTTTGGGCTTCTGATGTGTAATGGAAAATGTATAAGCTACATTTTATCTTGATAATTCCTTTTTAAGAATAGATTCAACCAAAATCAGAGCAAACAATACTGTTTTTTCAGTTGTAAAAAAAATAAACACAACAGGATAATAAAAAACAATTTATTTTTTCTTTAAAAAATAACCCGCCCCAACAGAGTTCATACTATCACATACAGAGCCAAAACAATATGCTTTCATGTCCTTTCATTCAAATATATTGGGAAGTGCTATGACAAGGACTGTTCTTGATCAGTGGCTTCAATATTGCTTAGTCGGACAGTGAGGCTGTGTGGAGAGGAGTGGACTCTCCGGTGTCCACATGATGCATTTCCAGGGTGACTGCCATTTCGTCTCCCCCCTTTGCAAGGTGCTTTGTGGCTTCAGTGACTGAAGAACTGCATCTGGTTTCAGTGATAGTGGGAAATGCCCCAAGACTGATTTTTCTTTACTTTTTTCATCACAGAATGAGGGGTAAACACTGGCCCCAACTGTGAAAGGCTTGGCAACTGGTGAGCCAAAATACATAACGGGTTAATATTATATATTTATATATACAAATCACCTTGGACACAACGAAAGATCAGTAAAACGGTGTACAAAGGCATTTTGATTTTACAAGTTAATAAACACGATTTAAGAATCTTCTGATCTCTTATCTTTTGATCCCTTTCACCTCAAAAGGGTTTTTTACCATCAGACAAGATTTGAGGCGCTTTAACGGCAACTGAGGTGGAATTTTGAGACCGTTTCCACAGTGCCCTCTTGAGGAAATATCTGACACTAGTCACATCATCATCATCATAATAATGACAAAGGAAAAAGTCTTTATAACCGATACACAATCGAGGCAAAAACTAACAGGCAGTGACGAGCGCAAGGCTCCTACCTCTAAGTAAACCAAAATAAGGTGGCTCAGAATATCCAGTCATAAAAAATAAGTACATGCATTGTTTTTTCATTAATCCAGAAAGTGACTATATGTAAAGGCAGGGAATATTTTGTGGTAGTAATAGTGGCACACCCTGTTCAATGTAGCAATCCCCTATCTGTGCCGCCCATGCACACAGAGCACCAATGGGGATTGGCTAGCACAAGTAAGGGGATGCTGCGGGTGTGTGTTGTTTAAAAGTGAGGATACAAAGCAAGGATAGAATGTGATGATGGGAAGGGTGACGAAGGATAGTTTGGCTTAGAGGGGAATAAGGGGACAAGTGCATTTGAAGAGGTTGGTCTCTACATGCTAAAGAGACGGAGAGGGACGATATGTGTGTGCTTCTGCTTTTCAGGCTAATAATTGTAAATGCCTGCAGAGGGAAGAGCTTTGGGGATATAAGTGTAAAGGAACGCAAAGAAGTTTGCAGGTGGAAGATTAGAGTGCACCATCTCTACTGATACATGTTGGAATGTGCAGAATGATCGGAGCAAGTTCAATTGCTGAAAGTGAGTTCAGCTTTGCAGCACTTAAGTGATCACAGATTTATATTTGCCTGCATTCAAATCTACAGAGTGTTGACCTTGCCTATTGCCGTAGTTACCTATTTGTTCTGAAAGCTATGCATATGTGGGTGTAAAACTTCAATCTAGTCTGCGGCGAGTCTCAGCACAGACAAGTCCCACCATTTTGGAGTAAAACAAATAATCTAAAAGTAAATAAAAAGAAAAGTGCCTCGAATATCCTATAAGAGCTATGCATACAGAAAAAAAGGATTATCTTCCTGTTGAAGGGCCCCTTTTCCATTGGTTGGCATCACATTTGGCTGGTTAATAATGCTGGTTTAGGTGCATGGGGTGCAAGTGTATTTGATACACTCTATGCAAATGGTCCCTCTATTGTTTTGCTCGGCTTACGTAAGCTACATCTCTAAGGGACTCAACAACCAGCATAGAGAGTGCGGCAGGATTCTCTCCTGTATCTACGATATGCTACACCTGCTCTTTCTGTCTCTGCTAATATAAATACCAGAGGGCTAGCCTCGAATGTACTAACAAACTCTTTTGTGCAGGACTGGTGGCACCTACATGCTAATGCTAAGTGCTATTGTACCATACCTCAGACTCCTCAAGGCATTTAAAAAAATAACATTATTCAAAAACATTAAAAACATGAATGTAGTTCATGACATGAAATGATACAAGTAAGTGTGCGTGCCCAGTACCACCCCCTCTGGAGGATCCACATACTAAGGGGCTTGGACACTGGCATCCGGATAGGTCAAGAGGCAGCATCGAGGTGGCAGTTATTTGTGACTTTTTTTTTGTATTCTTTTTTTCCTGCCTGTTTTCCTCCTATCCGTATTACATACTTACATACAAAAGGGGTGTGAATGTAGTGTACAATACAATTACATAATAATAATAACCATGTTTAAAAATTCAACATAAAAAAGAGCAATAGCCCTGGTAAAGTAAAAACAAAGAAATGACAATAATAATAATATGGATAACTGTTTGAGTGCATGAGGCTGTAGAGTCTGCCTGTGTTTTACAGGTGAACGCCTTGTGTTCTTCAGGTGAATGACTGGCAGGTCTGTGGCGTATGCGTGGTGGGCAGTCATTGGGAATAAGGGATGGGGATGAGGTGATGGTTGGCCATGTGCCAACTCAGGTAGAAATGAAGTGGGGGGGGGTCGATGGTGGTGAGAGTAGGTGTAGCTCAGGCGAAGTACATGGTCCTCAGTGTGTCGTGGTGAATTTGAACAGCTTTAGCCAGCGCCTGGGGGTCCCGACCGTTACTCTGCCCGGACACATGGCTGCCCTCTCCACTGCAGAGATGACGGGGGAAAAGTTGCAGAACAATGATCGGTTACACTATATATGTAATTATTATCGAAATTGGTCCATGATAGCACATTGGGGAGAGAAATGCAGCATATTGTGTCCAACTACATCCTGTCTCATTTAAATGTAAGAAAAAAACTAGAACTATTATGATGAAACAATAAAACATGCGCCATTTTATAATTTTAGGCAGGTCAAACTGAATGAAATGATGGTATGCCAATATGATTAAAAAATATATAAGGACACATAATTATTAATTTCCTACCCTAATTTGAAGTCTAATGTAATTTACGTTTAACATATTTATGATAAAAAAGTAATTGAGCTTTAAATATTTCCCTTTTCCCAAAGACAGAATACAAAACAAAACATATTTTGGTCCTGAGAACTTTGGGAACCAAAACATTTCCTCACAAACAATGAGCTTTTGCAAATGCATGCGTCCATATTGCATCACCACACTCACCTGTCATGTTCTTTGTCCACCAGATGGTAGCGGGCACGGAAGGCCACAAGACGAGCGTAGTAGGCTGGCGCAGGGATGGAGACGGAGCGGGTACAGCGCACGTACGTGTGGCACAACTGGTACGTTAGAATCTGCAACTCGTCAGCCGTGAAGCGATTGTCGTCCCATAAGACGTAGTAATGAGACGGCCGGCTGGTACCCTGGAAACAGAGAAAGGGAAAAAATGTGATGAAACATCTGTTTAAGAAAAGGCTTAATAACAAAAACAACCAAATGCGACGTGAAGAGATAACTTACAGCAATGACAGACCACTATAACATGGTTGTCCTGTTCTCATTACCTGTATGCCTGCATGGCTGCACAGGTAGAAGTCAAACTCAAAGGGATGAGTGATGCTGGTGTCCACTGTCGTCCCGGCAGGAATATTTCCACTCTTCCCAATCTATTAAAAGAAAAAAACAATATGATCATTATTAAATATTTAGACAAGTATGCAAGTCTTTTTTAGATTTTTTTAAACTTAAAAGCTCACCCTTTCAGACTTGTCGGCACAGAAGAGGCGTGTGTGGTGGCGTTTCTGCACAACA